GGGACTCCATGGGCAGGGGTTCCCCAAAAGCTGTCGGGAGCGGTGGGTCGGAGTCAGCCGAGCCGGGCTCCCAGCCCTGCCCAGTCTCCGTGCTGGTTGTACTGGGCAGCCGGCCGAGGTGATGCAAGGCTTGGCCGAGGAGCCCATCCCGTCCTCCTGCACCCCCCGAACAGGGGGGTTCCCCACGAGCTCTGCTGGGACCCGTGCCCTTGGCTGCTGTGAAGTCATTGTGGGGGTCCCGGTTAATGCCCAGACGGGCAGCAGTGGGTGACGGCAGGGGGCTGTAATGTGACGGGTGACCAGATTCCGATGGGTGACCAGGAGGGTCCAGGGTGCAGGCTGGCAGTCCAGGGTGTGATGGGTGACCCTGGGGGTCTGGGATGTGAGGAGTGACGCAGTGCTGACACGGCCCTGTGCAGGTGACAGCTCGCAGCAGCACAGTGAAGAATTAGGACACTCCTGGTCTGTGACCCCGTGGGTTCTGTGGGATAACCAGACACTCAGCTTGGCAGAAGCGACCCAGGTGAGCCCCTGCCCACATTCCTGGGGTCCCCCACGTTTGTGACAGTGCCGTGGGGGCTGCCTGCACCCTGCCACCTCCCCCTGCCCTCTTTTCAGTGCAGGACATGCGGTGTGCTGGTCCTGCAGGTTTCCAGCACCCAGAGCCCCTGGCGTCCCAGAAGCAGTGGGGAGGGGAGCCCTCAGCAAATCGCCTTTTCCCTCCTGATGCTGAGAGGGACCTTTCTGGGTCGGGGTACCCACCCTGCGCCCCTCCCGGCTGGGGCGGAAGGGCCCAGCCCACCCCGCGGCCGTCGGGAGTCACTCCAATGTTTCCGCCGCGCTGCACCGGGCAGGAAGAGCGGGGGGAACGGGGTGGGGGCCCCGCTCGGTCCAACCCCCCTTTCCCTACACAATGATCGCGGGAGGGAGGGACGCTTCCTGCGGGGTGGGCAGGGCATCCCTTCCGAACCTCTCCCTCCGGGCACGCGCCAGGGCCAGGCGTGTCCCCGGCCGCCGCGGGGGTCCCCGTGCTCCGGGGGGTGCGAGGGCGTGGGGCAGCCTGGGTCAGGGGTGCCCCCTAAACCACGGCCTGTGGCAGGGGGGGTTCCCCGCCCGTCTGAGAGTCCTGCTGGAGCTGGAGGGGATGCGGCTGCTGCTGGAGCTGGAGCAAAACTGGTGAGCCTGTGGTTCTGGGAGCGACAGCAGGGCGTGGGATGGAGCTCCTGGAGCCATGCAGGGTGGGGATCCTCCTGGGACCCTGGGCTCTGTCTCTATCCGTGGTGGAGTGGGGGTCCCTTATTCCCTGTCTCCATCCATGACACAGGTGGGGTGGGGGCTCCAGGGTGCAGGGTGGGAGGTGGTGGGTCCTCCCTTCCTGGCAGGCTGTGCTGAGGGCAGGGTGAGCTGGGTGTCCCTGCTGTGGGGTGACACGAGTCTCTGGCAGGGAGCTGGTGCAGGGCACCGGGGCACTGCTCTATTACCTGCCTGACGGCACACGGGTGATCCAGGAGCCCAGCGAGCAGGTATGGGCTCAGGCCTGGCTGTCACCTGTGCTGTCCCCAAGCTGTCCCTGTTCCCCAGGGACACCCCAGCCTGAGGCTGGATCCTGAGCCCCCTTCTCTGCTGCAGGAGCACTGCTGCTATCAGGGGACAGTACAAGGCTTCCCTGGCTCCTGGGCCAACCTCTGTGCCTGCGCTGGACTCAGGTGAGCCCCTGAGCCCAGTGCTCTGTGAGCCCACTCCCACTGTGCTGCTGATGGGACAGGCTCCATGTACCAGCTCCTCTGTCCTTCCCCAGCGGCCGCCTCTGGCTGTCGGACAGCAGGAGCTACACGCTGGAGCCGGACACCAGCAGCCCCCAAGGGCAACACGTGGCATCCCACCTTCGGGTGGTCCAGCTGGAGCCGCAGAGCTGTGGGCAGGGCCCCCGCCCCGGGGCAGAGACAGCAGAGCCCCTCTGGCCACAGAGGGTAGGTCACCCGGGGGTCTTTCCCCACAGAGTGTCCCTGTCCCAGCACTCTGACCCTTCTCTGTCCCCAGGACAAGCGGGAAGCAGCAGAGCAGCGCTTTGTGGAGCTGGTGATGGTGGTGGACCACGCTGCGGTGAGTGCTGGGTGGTGTCCCCAGAAGAGGGGCTGCCCTTCCCACAGCCACCCCTCTGAGCCCTTTTTTTTTTTTTGAGGTAAAACGAAAGAGAAATTTTTATGTGTGTATATGTGTGCAGAGTTAGAATGTTAGTTTTAACAGTAAGTTGTCAATATAAAAATAAAAAGTAAAATGTCCTAAAGTGAGTGTGATATTAAATTATATCCCCATTCGTCCACCTAACCCAAAAATAAGTTTTATATCCTTAAAACTTCATCTAAAAATAAAAGTAAATAAAAAAAAACACCAAGTCTGTTATCAAAAACTGTACTTACTCCCCCCACATTCCAAAACAAAGTTTTAACTACAACACAAAACAACAACAACAAACAAATCACCTTAACTTTCTGTTTCTCCAGTTCCAGAATTACCCCAGCCTACAGCGTGTTCGCACCCGGACCCTGGAAATTGCCAACCAGGTGGATGTGGTGAGTCACCGTCGGGTTGGTCCATCCCAGCCCAGTGCCCGGCCGTGCTCTTGCTGCTGCAGTGCTGGGGGAGCTCTGACCCCTCTGTGCCCCCCCAGTTTTTCCGTCCCCTGGGAGTGCGGGTGGCCCTGCTGGCAGTGGAGGTCTGGAGCGAGGGTGACAAGATCGCGGTGGGCAGCAGCGCCCGGGCCGTGCTGGAGCGGTTCCTGCGCTGGCGTCAGGAGGAGCTGCTGCCCCAGCTGCCCCACGACAATGCCCAGCTCCTGACGTGAGTGGGGGACAGGGTGGGGACAGGGGGATGAGGCCTCAACAGCCCCCCAACCCTCTCTGCTCTCTCCCCAGGGGCGCCCACTTTGTTGACGTCTCAGTAGGGATGTCGACTCAAGCCTCTATGTGTTCCCCCACACGCTCCGGGGGGGTCAGCAAGGTCAGTTCCTCTGTCCCCCCACGCCATCCTCCCACCACCTGCCCGCCCTGACCCTCCTGTCCCACAGGACCACTCTGTCAGCGTCCTCGTCATGGCCTCCACTGTGGCCCATCAGCTGGGGCACAACCTGGGCATGCGCCACGACAGCGCCGGGCGCCTCTGCGACTGTGGCGACCTCCGGCACGACCGCGGCTGCATCATGGCACCGCCTACGGGGTGAGGGCAGCGGGCAGGCCTTCGGGGGCTGGGGGAAAGCCCCTTCCTCACCTCATGGGCCCCTTCCTGGCTCTGCAGGTTGACACCTGGCTTGAGCTTCAGCAACTGCAGCCGGCAGGACCTGGAGCAGAGCTTGCAGCAGGGCCAGGGTTGGTGCCTCTCCAACGTCCCCGAGCCCCAGCTCCTGACTGGGAGCCCCACCTGTGGGAACCACTTCGTAGAGCTGGGCGAGGAATGCGACTGCGGCCTCAGTGTGGTACGGGGGGCTCTTGGCAGGCCTAAGGCCCTGAAGCCACCCCATTTCTCCCTGGCTCTGCTCAGGGGTGTCTGGGGCTGGCAAGGAGGTTTCCAGTGCCCAGTGGTGGGTGCTGGTGGCACCTGCTGACTGCAGCCCCTCCACTGCAGGAGTGCACCGATCCTTGCTGCAACAGCAGCTCCTGCCAGCTGATGCCAGGGGCCGTGTGTGCCAGCAAGGACACCTGCTGCCAGGACTGCCAGGTGTGTGGGGATGGGCACCCATGCCATGTGCCCATGTGTGATCCCCCCCATTCACCCAGTTTATGTGACCACGTCCCCCCACAGCTGCGCCGTGCTGGACACGTGTGTCGGGAGCTGCTGGGCGAGTGCGACCTGCCCGAGTTCTGTGACGGGGTCTCACCGCGCTGCCCCCCTGACACGTTCCTGCAGGACGGGCAGCCCTGTGCCGGCGGGCGGGCACGCTGCTACAGCGGGGCCTGTGCCACCTACGAGGGGCAGTGCCAGCAGCTGCTGGGGCCAGGTAGAGCAGGGCCAGGCTGGGGTGCTGGGGGCTTGGTAGGATTGCTGAGGGTCTCTGCCCCCACTGCAGGTGCCAGTCCTGTCTCCAGCTCCTGCATGGCTGCTCTGAACACAAGAGGGGACGAACGTGGGCACTGCGGGCAGCTCCCCAACGGCTCCTATGTCACTTGCACCCAGCAGTGAGTGACGTTCCCATCCTTCTCCATGTCCCCCCTGCCGTGCTCCTTGCCCTGACCCCTCTGTCCCTGCAGGGACACCAGCTGTGGGATGCTGCAGTGCCAGCGCAGCAGCACCCATGGGGAGAGACCAGAAGGGTCCTGCCAGGGGACCCCGCTGCCTGGGGACGAGGACGTGACCGATGCAGCCATGGTGCTGCCTGGCACCACCTGTGGCCCCAGGAAGGTGAGCAGTGAGGCAGCAGGGGAGGGACCAGGAGGGGTCTCTCAGTGCTCACACGCCATCCCCCACAGATGTGCCTCCAGCACCGGTGCCAGGACATCTCCGTGCTGAGTGACCAGCAGTGCCAGAACAAATGCCACGGACACGGGGTGAGCGCAGGGCTGGGGAGCAGATGCTGGCAGTGGGGCCCTGCCCCTCAGGGGCTGAGCTCAGTCGGTGTCACCTACCCAGGTGTGCAACAATCACGGGCACTGCCACTGTGAGCGGGGCTGGGCCCCCCCAGCCTGCGACAGCCCCGGAGTGGGGGGCAGCCAGGACAGCGGCCCTGCCAGCCTTGAGCGAGGTGAGGGACAAGGCGAGCGCAGAGAATGGGGCTTTGTGCGGGTGTCGGGGGGGTGATGGGCACGGCGGGGGCTGACGTGCTGCTCTCCCGCAGGGGGAAGCGCCCTGCCCACGGCCCTGCTGCTGAGCGCGCTGCTGGGGCTGGCGCTGGCACTGGGGCTGTGCCGAGCCCGCCGTGCCGGCCTGCA